TTTCCTTGGTCTTAACCATCCAGCAGAAAAGTATAAAAATGAAATATAAGAAGTAAAGCCATGCTGTTATGTTGAACTGTAGGGGACTCAGGTCAAAATCGTTTATTTTTATTCCATGGGCTGTTGTGCATTTTAACCACTCTAGATCACACAAAAGTGTTTTTGTGTGAAGAAATATGCAGCACAAAAGTTACACCAGTGTTCTCGCTGCCTAGTGTCAGCTGTCACTACCTTAGAGAAATATTCAAGTTTTTATGGTATGAGACTTCAGGGGGAGGGAGGAAAGGAAGGGAAACAGTTACATTTGTGAACCTTGCCTACTTTGATTCAGTTTTTGTGGCAGTTGGTTGCATTAGAGATTTTGTAGGAAATGCCTTGATCACTTTATGTTTGGAAGGATTATGCTTGAGGTGGTCTGTTCTTCATGTTGCAAGAGACGTGGTCAGGGTGGAGTTGTCTGCTTTTACCGCTGATGTTGTGCAGAAGTCAAGGATGAAGTGACGTGTGCTATTGTGCACTCCAAAGGCACATGCAAGCCAGAATCTCTTTGAGGGAGCCTGCTTTTGGAATGTAATGCCCCTAAAAACAGGAATGTGTATTTATAAGGTATGTCCTAACCTTGGCTGGTATTGTGCACAACCTGTCAGTGAATTCTGCTCATGGGGAGCTGCACAGTGACACTTGCAATACTTTTGTTGCTTCTTTACTAACTAAAGAACTCTATCTTCTGAAATTTTTTGTGTAGTCTCCCAGAAACGCATGTAAGGAAAGATATAATAATTCTAAAATTATTATTTTTAACATAATATGCCTAATGATAAAACAAATTATCTTCAGAGCTGGGTAATTGGGAGGATAGATTCTCACTATATGAAAGACTTTATGAGTTTCTTTAAATTCAATGGAGGTGATTTCAAGCTTTAAAAAAGTTTTTAAATTAGATTAAGAGTTCAAGTCCAGTATTTAGTATTCCTATGCCACATTAGCAGAATACAGATTGTGGGATGGCTACTCCAAGCCCTCTCTGTTAGCCTCTAAGACACTTTTGCATAATCCTTGGAGCTGCAGGGAGCATGTTTTTAATTTAATGAATTTAAAGTGCTGAACAATCTATTACTAAGCAATTTTAGCAGTTATTTTGTCCTGTCAAATAGTTAACGTATGGAAGAAATGCTGTAACAGAAGAACAAGTGATAAATTATCAGTAGATTTTATTGGCTTTACTTTTTGTGTCCTGTTTTTATGACATTCCATGACTTATGCTACCTCTCCATGTGCGCCACGTTAGCCTTGTCTAACTGCCATGTGTCCCTAATTGCTGGTTTAGCTGACAGTTGGTATATGTAAAACTTACATGCAAAGCAAACTATAACTTTGATAGGGTAACAATGTATGAAATACCTTTTGAAATTCAGTAACCTTTATAAATATTTCAGAATCTTTATACCTTTACTGTTTCTTATAGGTTATCTGTTTTTAAGTGGCGATCTCAGTGGAATTTAGCACAAGCTATCATACACACCCTGTCCAGGGACAGCTAGAAATAGCATAAAGCTGTCTGAAATTTTCAGTTCTTTTTATTAGATTCATCAGTTTTCAGTCTTCTAAAGATTTGAGCAGTGAAAATCTTAGCCACAGTACCAGACAGATAGAAAATAATTAAAAGCTTTAATTATATTTCATTACTAGTTCTTAGAATTTTACTTTAGCTGATTTTATAGCATACAAAGAAATAAAACCCTGTACTGCAAAAACAGTACTGAATAAAATTTTGTCTAAAATTCTCATTGCATTATGAGGAGAAATGGAAGAAGAGGGAGAAATGGAGTGAGTCCATTTTTCTCTTTAAAATAAGTTTTTAGAAGTTCCTACATTTTGTGAGCCACACATTCATTTAGAGAAAAAAATGATTTTTTAAAAAGCTTAAGATAGCAGGCAATGAAAGTAATGCACAGCCAGAGGCTGATATCCTACTTAAGTCTTTTGCTTTACTTGGTCCACACTTGAAATTTAGATGTTCCTTTGAGTAGGATAATCATTTGACAGTATGATTTGTTCACCTGCCATATATTTGTGTTTCTGTTTTTCTGCAGTCTAAAACTATAACCGTAATGAATTCAGATACAGCAAGCGAAGTTATCAACATGTCATTACGAATGCTAGGAATAACTGTAAGTTGTACTACTTGCTATTGTTAATTATAAACGTTAATACTTTAGATTCAGAGTAATGCTTAATTATGTAGATCCATTATATGCTTCATGTGCAAGACAACTCACTATTAGAGATACTAAACCCCCAAATGTAAAAAATAAGGATAGGAAAATCTTAATATTAACATTATATATATACCATCTTATATTTTAAAATCTTAGGAACTAAAAGTGTGATATGATTTGACTACAGTTTTACAGTAACATTTTTTGCTATATACATACAAAAATAATTTCATGCCGTAAGACTCTTGGTAAGAGAATTTGAACAACCCTCCCCCTTCCTTGTCATTGTTTGATTCTTCTCCTCCCTGATTTACTTACCCTGTTATTATTACAGGACTCAGTCTTTGAATGATAAATTCTGAAGGATTTTCTCTGTGGTTGAATTTTTACATAAACAACACTTGGCAATATGCCATATTAGCTGGCTGCAGGTCATGGTACCTTTTATTAATTAATAAATTTTTAAAAGATGGCTTTGAATTAGATCATGGATTTGAAAAACCTTAGAATTCATACTGTACTCTTCCCTGTTTTGCTTTTGTTTTCTGCCCTTTCTGTTTTCTGGGGTTGAGGGGAGCTTTGGCAGTGTTACTGGTGGAAAAGATTAGAATACTTGAGGAAGAAGTGTAGGCAAGTGCAATTAGAAGGCTCTACTCATTTGCCTTCCTGCCAGCTACATCAGCAGTGCTTGATGACCACTTTTAATAAAAAGAATAGCCTTTAGAAGAGTGAAAACTAAGGAAAACACTTGAACAGTTTTTGTGAAATTCTCTATTATTAAAACACTGCTACTATGGTATGACATTACATGTTTGATATATGCCATGATTATATTTAGATATGTTCTTACACAATACTATGCTAAGCGCTTAAGAACTGTGGACAACCAAAATTCAAGATAAGAAATCTGACTTACTAGTAAAGTTCAGGAATATATTTAAAATGTAATTAAATTTTGTATACACTGTAACATGGGTCAGGTGTCAGGGATAGAGCTTGGTGGCACGGCCCCTGTCTGGCAAGTACAATGTCCTGAGATCAATTCCCAGCACCAAGCAAAACAAAACAAAAAAAAAAATAGAGTCAAGCAGGCATGCCTGCATCAAATTCTAATTTATTCTGTATATATCTTAGAGGAGAGTAAATAGTTTTAAGGGTAGGATTTAGGTATTGGTACATAACTCATTTTCCTTTCTATGCTTTTCCTTTAGAAGAGTGATCATTCTCCTCAGATCAAAAGAGTACATTAATTTTAGTCAAATTCTGTATCATTTCTAATGTTTTTAAATTATTTTTTTATTTTTTATTCTTTTTAAAGATAAATTTAAGAAAAAGAATGTAAGCTATTTGATTATTAGTCGTTTATACCTGTTCTGGGGGATTTTTACAGTGTTTTCAGAAACAACATAAATCTCACTTAGGAGGATTGAGCCCATGGCCTGTTTGTTGAATTGCACCCTTAGCCCTTTGTGTTCCACTTTTGAGCTATCTCCATCACTTCTTCCCCAGGCTGGGTTTGAACTTGCGATCCTTATGCTTCCAGAGTGCTGGGATTACAGGAGTACACCACCACACCTGGGTAAAAGGAAAAGATTTTTATTAGATTTCTTTTCCTCCTTGAGGGGATTGGGCAGGGAGGATATGACCAATAGCATTGGTGAGGAAGGAGCAGGCGGCAGTGTATGGTACTCTCCAGGCCAGGAACCTCTCTTAAAGGATAGAGGCATGATGTTAATTAGAAGTTAAAGACAGGAATGTGAGCTATTGCCAGCACACTTGACTGTCTGTTCTAGCTTTGTTTAAAACATTTTTTTGCTTTATCCCTCCTAGAGGATTCAGCAAAGTCTGTAAAATTTACTATTCTTTCTTTCAAGTGGGATTTATAGTGTTGCTGGGTTATAATTCTGCTAGTGAAAAATTTTGCTGTTTTCCATGACTGGCCTGTTCTCTGGATAGAATTCTAATTCCTTCTGTCCCCTAGATGGACTTGCCCAAGCTGAAGCCAGTGCCAACTACCTATCTCCTCAAAGCCCCTTGGTCATTCCTCTGCTCAGAAGCAGCTGAGCTAATAATCAGCCTTTGAGATTTTATGTTTTAATCATAGACACAGCAGTGTTCGGTGCTTTCTGGGTAACAAGGCTATCTTTACCAGGTCAAATTCAGAATTCTGTGGAGTCCAGAAACATCACAGAAATGAGGATTCACAAGAAAAGATTAACCTTTCAGGGCTGGAGAGATGGCTCAGTGGTGTAAAGCACCTACTTGAAACAAGCTTGGCAAAGCACAGGGACCTCGGTTCGATCCCCAGCACCACATGCCAGCCAGCCCCGCCCCCTGGTGGGCTGAGCTGGCCACACACACACACACACACACACACACACACACACACACACACAATAAATAAATGTAATAAATAAATATTTAAAAAAAAAAAAAAGAAAAGATTAACCTTTCAGAATCAGGAAATTTGTTCCTCCTTTGAGAAGGACTATCTACAGCTTCACATTCCACAGGCATTCTGATGCAAAGAGGGTCCAGTTCAGTTGTGGCTTGAGGCTCCCTGTTCAGCACTTGGAGAAGAACAGAATTCCCAAGACCTCTTGGAGAATGGGAGATGGGTTGTAGGAATCGGCACCCTCTTAAAAAACTGTAACATTCCTGTGAACCTGAATAGCATTTAAATTGTCTGTAGGGTTTTTTTTCAAAGCATAAAATTGAAAAAACATGTTTCCTTCATTCAAGGATGAATATGAAAAACTTATTTGACTTTTTTTTATCTCATAGGGTTCTGAGAGAGATTACCAGTTATGGGTCAATTCTGGAAAAGAAGCAGCACCATATCCACTCATTGGTAAGTTTCTGTGAAAACCTCAGATAGCATTGTGTTTGTATTATAATTCTAAATGTCCCAGAATTGGTCATATGGCCCTAAGCTTGAATATTAAATGTCCTGTGCTGTGTAGTTATTATCTGTTAAGCATTTATTATGTACCAAACATTGGTATCTTTTCACTCAGGCAGCTAATAAGGTAGCATCATTGGGAAAGAAGACAGATTTTCCCTTTTAAATCAGAACTTTCTTGCCAACTATTTTTTTTCCAACTATTTTTCTAAAAGAAAACAATATATAGGTATTACTTTTTCTCAAAACGTATTTTTATGCTCAATTTTGGATTTTCATGTTTTTCCGCCAATCAATTAGATTGCCTCTATAGAAAACTAATCCAGTTGTGCATCTCAATCTAATATCTGCTCTGTTCCCAGAACTTTCCTGGATGACATAAAGAAAAGATTAATTCATTATGACTCTTTAATGTCCTTGTAGGGGCCAGGGAGATGGCTTAGTAGAATAAGCACTTGCCTGGCAAGCGCAAGGGCCTGAGCTCAATCCTTGGTTCTGCCAAAAAAAAAATTTAAAAATAAAATAAAATAAAGCCCTTGTAGACTAACTTACCAGCTACTACTCTACAAGCCAGCTTTACTCTAGCCAAATTTCTCAGTGTTTTGAGAAAATATTGACAGATTGTCTCATGCACAGAGGTGAGTGCAAAACTGATCATATTTGGTTTTTTTTAATGTTGTCATTTTTATAAAAGTAAATGAGCAACAGTGAAAGTTGTCCTTACTTAAAATTATTTAAATCAGACTGATTTAGTTAAAACTAGGTAGTTGAAACTTTCCTTACAAGCTTTTACCAAAAAGCCATGAGATACGGTGGTCCCATTCTTGGCAGCAATTTTTTTGTTTGAAATATTTATTGAATATATTCATGGTGGAACATTGGTACATATATATCACATTCTTTTTACATCTCCTTCTATGTGCCTTGTAAAACATTTGTACATTAGTTGCTGGCTATTCGATAAATGAATTTTGTATTATTTCTGTTGTAAAGATCTTTTTGCTTTAATTCCTAGAAATTGCTACAATATCTAAATATTAATACATTTCCACTTTACACCTATGCCAGTTAAGAGTTCACTGAGTTACAGTCAGTAATCAGAGAATTTGCTAAGTTTAAAGAATTTACATGTAGTATTTGCGATTACACTAAAAGGATGCCATTAATCAGATACTAAAGAACAAAAAATCAGTTTCAGTCAGGTCCCCAGGGTTTAGTTTTTCTACTTTGTAAATTCTCTTTTGCATCTATGTGTTTCTGATTTTCTGTGTTCTTCCTTGTGATTGTGGCCTGTGAACACCAGCCCCAGCAACAGGAGGAGGAAGCACAGAGCAAACAAGTCCCAAATGCTCTTGAATTTTTTTTTTTTTTCAGACAAGCATTCTAAATAATCATGTACTGGTACTTGATCTCTCTCGTTCTCTGTCCCTATTCACATATTTCCGCTGCTCATATGTACTTACTTGATCCTTATAATACTTGAGATGTAGGATAGATATTTAAATCATGGATTTGAAGTCTAACAAGCATGTAGATTTGGTGAAGATTTATAGATCTAGTTGGTGTCAAGGGAATCAAGCACTGTACAGTTCATAAGCTGATTCATATAGTCACTCCAAATAAGATATTCTTTAAACATTTTTTTCTTGATCCTCCATTAAACTGCTTTGGTAACCTCATTGGCCTATAATTCTTTAATGGTCAAAAAGGGTTCGTTACACCAAAAGTCCCAGGAGTGACTGCAGAACATTCCTGTCTATCTCACGCACCCACCCATTCAACTTGAAGTCTACACTTAGATTTCTGTCTTTCCAGGGCATGAATTTCCCTATGGAATTAAAATGAACCATCTTCGAGACACTGCACTTCTAACACAGGGGTCTAAGGATGCTGCCACCCTTTCCAGCCTTCAGGAGCCCTTCCTCATGGAACCACTACCCCGAGAGATGCAGTGCCAGTTCATTCTGAAGCCCAGCCGCCTGGCGGCCACCCAGCACCTCAGTGGTGAGTCACTTCTCCAATGGAGAGCACTTGTTCAGCAAGTTTTCATTCCTGAACACAAATTAATACAAAGGGAGAGTCTCAAACTTTGACCCAGATGAGGTATTTTTAATTTGCTAATAATGTATTAAAGAGGAAGGATGGAGTTTTAGAAGATAGTTTTATAAATCAGCAATAGGCATCACTGACTTAACTAGCACCAGATAGCAGTAGTCTCTCCTTCCGTCACCATTCTTTGCCCTTTAACCTCACGTGAGTCAAAGGACCAGGCAGTGCTACAGTTGCTTCACTGCTCTTTTGTCCTCCCAAATATTTTGTGTGTGTCCCTCTACCTGGCCATTTAGAAAGAGGAAGCTGTCAGTAATGGTATCAAGGGACTGATGCCCTATGTGGGCCTCTGGTATTGATAATGGTCTGAAGACTAACATGGTTTCTACAGAAGTCTCTTCCCAGCCCACTAATGTGAGCTCCTGTGAACATGCTTCTAGTGTCCTGAATTATTCAACCAACCATTTTCACCAAAAGACTAATAATCTTAAATCTACTGTTTCTGGACACATTTCTACATCTACTATAAGCATACAAGATTTAATCACCTCACCATTCTTAAGTGGCTTTCCTTGAATTGGGTAACAAATGAGACTCTCAAACTTTTGTTAGAGGTTCATTTTCATTATTTTGGTAAAGAAATACAGCAATGATGAAACATTTCCATTTTAAATATTGTCCTTTTTCTGATCATTTCTTTCTTACATTAATGTGTGCTTAGTGTACTGGAGTATTCTTTTACCACAGCCATCGTACCATTGTAAGTAAGCATGATATAATCATACCTTGTTGTACTCAGTTGTTTTGAAACTTCTTGAATTTGGTACTCAAAAATTTTGTATTGGCTGAGAGTAGTGGTGCATATCTATAATCCTAGCATTCAGGAGGCTGAAGCAAGAGGAGCACCATGAGTTCAAGTACAGCCTGAACCACACACGGGGATCCTTTCTCAAAAAACAAAAAAGAAAATAGGAATATTTTGTTCTGTTACTGTGTTTTTATTTAATATTTAGTATGCAAGTTCAAACTTGTCAGGGCTGATTGCTTTGTGGCATGCTACTTTTTCCAGCCAAAACAATTTGGTATCATTTAATGAACAGCAGCAAGATACCACAGTACTTTGCCATTTAATTCAGTGACAGAATTGTCTATAATTCACTGTGCTTTAAAATAAAGTGAACAGGGGCTGGTGAGATGGCTCAGTGGTCTGAAGCACCTACTTAGAGCAAACAAGCTAAGCAAAGCACAGGGACCACGGTTCAATCCTCCAGCACCACATGCCAGCCAGCCCCGCCCCCTGGTGGGCTGAGCTGGCCACACACACACACATAAATAAATAAATTAATTAAAAAAAAAAATAAAGTGAACACTAGAAGCCCATTTTACTCATCATATGACAACAAGAGAAATGAACAAGTAAGATTTTATGGTATCGTGGTAGATTGAAATAATTTGGGATATTTTGGATGGAGTCACTGGAGCTTGCAGTACCCTGTAAGGCAGAGCAAATGAGTGCAGCACACACCAGCTGTCACAGATGCCCAGCCCTGCCATGGAATGGAAAGCAAAAACAATCATGGGCAATACGGCAGCATATGAGCACAGTTGTATTCCTGGAAAACTAGCAGGGAGAGTAAAATTTTAATTTATTTATTTATTTATTTATTTTTGAATAATTTTATGGAGAAACAAATAGTAATGAGACAGTTTCAAAACAGATTACTAGCACAGTTTCAATAATTAACACATTGCATATTGTTGTCTTAGTGGTTATTCATTGTACAAGATGCAGACATGATATCCTGTCCACAAACACTATTCGAACAAATCTCTGTAATCATTGAATTAAGAGAATGGAGCTATATATCTATCCTAACTATTTTGAATATACAGATACAAAATCGTTCATTTGTAACCCCCTTTTTTGGTTAGTTTTGTCAGAGAAGGGTATTCCATTATCATTTAAATATTGTAGAGGCATGAATTCAGCAAAATATTCCAATATAGTCCAGTAGTCCGTACTAGTAGTGGGTTTTCTGTAGGACTGGCAATGTCTGAAGTTGTTGACTTGAGCCTTTCACAGCTCAGCATATTAATATGGCTTTAATTTTATACTTCATTTTTATACTTTAATGCTGGATGGTTACGACCAAGATAAAGCAAGACGTCTATAACAAGAAATGTAACTTTCATGTCTGATAAGCTCAGTCAGATCCCTTCAGGATTTAACCTGAAGCCCTGTATCACAGTTTGTAGATCCTTTGTCAGTGTCAGCCATGTGGATGAGTCATGGCCATTGCTTGACCAATTTGCTGTATGTGAAAGCCTGAGAGAATGTTTTCTCTCTCTGTGGCCTCATAATCTCCTTGATTAGAAAATCTGGGACACAACTGAGTTACATGATATTACAGTACAGGTTCTCTTATGTCCTGAGTCTTCACTGACCTTGAAAGGCTAAGGCCAAAATGCTGGCTGTCCTTTGAGCCCTTGTCTGTAATTTTTGGTCTGCAAATTTAGGTTGTTAACCCTCCAGAAGAGAAGCATATTATTTTTGCCCTGCAACATAGGCAGTTGAGCTTAACCTTACTACCTTTCTGAATATCAGACATCTTAGGCATAACATGGAACAGGTATTTTCCTTCAAGTATTGATATGTTAAACTTTAAGTCCTTACAGAATATGAAGAAAAATATTTTAAAAAGTAAAAAAAATCTTTAAAAATAGGGACAAACAGTTACATAGTTTTACACAAAATTTAGAAATCTAACCATATACAGCATGGAAGCAGGACAGTCCTTTGATATTTATTTTTCTCTCTTGTTTTCATTTATTACCCTTTTTTTTAATTTTAAACATTTACTTGAGAGACAGTATGGCAGTAATTGGTATGTCATGACAAGCAGTACATATTTATTTATTTATTTATTTTCATAATTTTATTGAAGCAGTACGTATTTAGAAGACCAGAATGACAGGCATTCCAAGCATTACCTACCATTACACATTGCTTTCTTCAGTGCCGTTGCTTAGTTCACAGTATCAGCATATAGTTAGTCATGGTGGGAATCCTACCAATTGACTGCTAGTTTCAATAACATGCTAAAGATTCTCAGGATCATTGCCTTATGCATCTTATGTATATAAAAGTATGGCTTTGCCCATGTCATGTTTCCTAGCTTTTCTCCTTGCCCTCTCTTCATTGTCTAATCCTCAAGTTCTTGCTTTCCTTTCAGTTGTGTTATACTTATTTGTATTTCTTCTTTTGAGTTCTTATACTAGGGAGACTATATGATATTTACACATGTGGGTCTGGTTTATTTCACTTATGAATATATCTTCAGGTGGTATCCACTTAAATATAAAGGCTTTGAGTATATCATTCTTTATAGCTGAGTAATACTCCATTGTATAAAAATGCCACATCTTTTTCATCCATTCCTCAGGTGACAGGCATCTTGGTTGTTTCTAAGATTTGGCTATCACAGGGGCTGGGAGATGGCTCAGTGGAATAAGTGCTTCCCTGGCAAGCGCAAGGGCCTGAGTTCAATACCCAGTTCCACCAAAAAAAAAAAAAAAAAAAAAAAAAAAGATTTGGCTGTCACAGATTGTGCTGCCGGGCTGGCAAGATAGCTCAGTAGTCTAAAGCGCCTGCTTAGGCAAGCTTAGGCAAGCATGCAGGGACCTCAGTTCGATCCCCAGCACCACATGCCATACCAGTCCTGCCCCCAGGGTGGGCAGAGGGGACCATAAAAAAGAAAGAAAAGAAAAAAAAAAAGAAAGGAAACATAAAAAAAAATGTGCTGCCATAAACATAGATACGCAAATATCACTATGATATGACATTTTCAGTTCCTCCGGGAAAATTCCCAGTAGGAGTATAGCCTGTGTGAATGGGATTTCCACTCTTAGTTTTTTAAGGAGTCTCCATGCTGATTTCCATAATGGTTGCACCAGTCTACATTCCCAACAGCAGTGGAGAAGGGTTCCTTTTTCCCCACAGCCTCTCCATTTGTTGTTGGTTGATTTCTTTCTGATAGCCATTCTTTGTGGGGTTTTAATTTCTATTTCATGGATGGCTAATGATGTGGAGCATTTTTTTCATATATTTATTCACTTCTTTAATTTCCTCCTCTGAGAATTGTGTTTATTGCAGGTGCCCCTTTCTGGATTGGGTCTTTAAATTTTGGGGCGCTAATGTTTTGTAGTTCTTTATAAATTCTAGAGAGCAGACCTTTGTCTTAGTGCTTATTAGTCAAGATTTTTTCCAAATTTTTGGGTTATCTTTTCATTTTGTTGGTAATTTCATTTGACATGCAAAAACTTCCCAATAAGAGGAGGTCCCAGTTGTAAATTCTTTCAAGTATTAACCATGCGATTTGATTTTTATTCATGAACATTTTGCCTACCCTTATGTCTTGAAGATTTCCTCTGCTTTCTATTCCAGGAGATTTAGTGTTTCTGTTTAAATATTTAGATCTTTAATCCATTTTGACTTTAGCTTAGTGCATGGTGATAGACCTGGGTCAAGTTTTAGTTTTCGGCATGTAGAGTGCAGTTTTTTTTCCAGCACCATTTGTTGAAGAGGCTATCTTTCTTCCAGAAAGCATGTGTAGAACTTTTGTTGAAATAAGGTGGCTGAGTATGTTTGTAGAGACTTCTGCATCTTCTAAGCTATTCATTGATCTTCAGGTCTATTTTGTTGCCAGTACCATGCTAATTTTATCACAGTAGCTTTCAAGTATAACTTCAACTCAGGAATTGTGATGCCTTCTGCTTTGTCTTTCTTGACCAGGATTGTCTTTGCTCTTCTAGGTCTTTTCTGGTTCCCAATAAATTTTAGGAATGACTTCTCTAGGTCTGTGAGGTATGTCGGTGGTAGTTTGATAGGGATTGCATTAAATCTGTACAGCAATTTTGCAAGTATGGAGATATTCACAGTGTTGGTTCTTCCTATC